AGAGAGAGAGAGAGAGAGAGAGAGAGACAGACAGACAGACAGACAGAGACAGAGAGAGACAGAGAGACAGAGAGAGAGAGGGAGAGTTTAGATATCATTTATTATGTAATGTGTCCTTGCAATTAATATTATTAGAAAATAAAATCCATTAGTTTTCAGTTTCTAAACAAATTTATATGTGCTATAAATGACAGATATTCCAAAATATTCAAAAGTGGTGTTTTGTAGTGGTAATAGATTAGTTCCTTATCTGTCTCTAAGATTTTTGTTTGTTTGTGTGGTTTTTTGGGGGGATTTTTTGGCAGAACCGGGGATTGAACTCAGGCCCTTGCACTTGCCAGGGAAGCACTTATTCCACTGAGCCACCTCCCCGGCCCCTGTCTCCATGATTTTTGTCATATGCCCTGTATCTATCCAGCTAAAACTGTTTTCGCTGAGAAACAACAGCTTGATTTGCATTTTTAACATTAATTCTCTGTTCATCTATAGAATGTCTTTATTAGTCATAGTTCAAAAGTAATGATGCACCACATTCTTGATACATCGATGTGTGACACACCTGTGTGTTCTTCCACAGAAGTCTTTTTTCATAGAATTCGACTACCATAGCACAAATCAAGTTTATTTCTGTCACTTGTGACTTTATTTAAAAAGTGGTTTTATATAACGCAAGTACAAACCTTGCTTACTTGCAGTTATATAAATTTATTTGATACTATGTAGTTTTCCCTTGTGTTTGATTCTTTACCATCAAATTATTCTTTATTACACTTAATTACCTAATCAGAAATAGCCATTTCTTGCATTTATGCTTTTGGTTACCACTGAATAAAAGATGTAATTGTTTCAGTTTGCTTCCATCTCCATTCTGAGAAAAATGACTGAACCTATAGTGATTTGGAGTCTTGCCTTACATTTTTGTTGCATTTGGCAAAATAATTTCAATTCTGCACTTTATTCCTCAACATCCGCTTTGTGCATGGCACTGTCCTAGGTGGTAGAAAAATAAATTGAAATTTCTGTCTTGTCATAAAAAACAAAAGGTAAATTGAACACATATCCCAAAGTGATCATACTATAAAGGAAATGGAAGTGAGAAGGGGAATAAAGAAGTACGAAGTGGGAATTGAGAGAGCATTTTATGTTTGGTGACTGGGAAAGACCTTACTGTGAGATGGCATAAGTGAGCTGCTTGGCTGCATGTTAGCTCTTGGATTCATGGAATTGCAGGGAGGCCAGTTTGGCTGCTGTGGAGAAGACAAGCCTGTGAGCAGTGTGGACTTGTGGGGTGTAAGACCTTACCGATCACTGTACGGGAGGTGGCTGTTAGGCCGGCATGATGGTGCATACCTGTAGTCCAGCACAGTGAGGAGACAGAAGGGTAGTCCTTTAGGTTGTACATTCAGACCCAGTGTTATGTCATATACAGGAGGATTGTTGTGATTATGAGGCCAGCTGAATCCCTAAGCTTAAAGGCTGTCTTAATACAAAAAAAAGGTAGCTGCTTATCTATAGAGAATATTTCATTAAAAAGCTAATCAAGGGACCGGGGAGATGGCTCAGTGGAATAAGTGCTTTCCTGGCAAGCACAAGGGCCTGAGTTCAATCCCCGGTTCTGCCAAAAAAAAAAAGCTAATCAAACAACCTAAATATAGAGAACCTACGTAAACAATGTATGTATAACAGGTATTTTAAGATTTATTTATTTATTTGGTATAGGCTCTCACTGTGCAGCTTGGACTCATAGTGATCCTCTTGTCTCAGCCTCCCCAGCGCTAGGATTACAGGTGTGCACCACCATGCCCAGTTTCAGTCGCTGGCACAACGCAGAGCCGGCACTGTTCATGCTACTGGGGATCAAACCCTGGTCCTTGCGCTTGTCAGGTAAGCGCTTAGACTGCTGAACTATCTCCCCAGCCCCAATAGCTATTTTATTTACCTGCTTTCTTAAGAATAGTTGGAGGAAACTGAAGCAGAGTCCAGGGGGCCCAGGGCTGTCACAATCAAGTAGGAAATGATGGGGGTGGGCCTAAGATGCCAGCAGTGTAGGTGGTAAGTGATTCTGTTTTGTTGTATTTGAGTTTCTTGGTGTTTAGGAGGCGAGATATGAGTTGTTTTTTTTTTTTTTTTTTGGTCAGAACTGGGAATGGAACTCAGGCCCTTGCACTTGCCAGGGAAGCGCTTATTTCACTGAGCCATCTCCCCGGGCCCTGAGAGAATGTTGGTGATGCCTCCACAGTTAATAGCCTGAAGACCCTAAAAGATGGCATCCATACTAACTCACGTAGTGCAGACTTTGGAAGGGTAGGTCAAGGGTGAAGGTGAGGACTTCAGTTTAGGACATACTTTAGTTTGAGATGTCTGTTAGCTCAGTGGAGATGTCACAGTCATTCACTCTTGTGAATTTAGGGGAGTTTTCTATGCTCTAAGTACCAGTATTTCAATATGTCATGAGACAGAATAAAAGTAAAGCTGGAGATCTTGAGAAGATCAGTGCATTATGTCACTGTCAGATTCCTGGTTATTA